CCAGTTTTTATTTTTCCTTTCAAGATTTCCTTTGCTTATATATAAAAATATGATAAAAACATGATAAATTTTTACATTTTGATGTTCTATTCTGTGTCCTTGATCGTACTGTTTATTAACTTCAAGTCATTTTCTTTCTGCTGCAGATTTGTAGTAATTTCTTTATTAAAAATCACAATGTCTTGAATTGAGCATTTTTACTTCATTCTTTATCCATCATCACAGATACCTACCACTTTATTAATTTATTTATTTTGGTAGTGGGAACATTTTCACTCTGCTCTCTTTGCAGGCCTTAAGAACACATAAAATGCTATTAATTATACTCCTAGCATTGGATATTAGGGCACCGGAATATACTCATCTTGCAGAATGGAAATGTGCATCTCCACCTCCTCTTCCCTGCAGCTTCAGTTCATCACCACAGTGCTCCTTCTCTGTAGGACTCCACCACTTCAGGTCTCTCAGATGAGTGGACTCATACAGTATATAACTGCCTCTCTGTATCCTCTTCTTTTACTGAACATAAGATGACCAGTGTTCATCCAACTTCTTATATGTAGTAGAAGGATTTCTTTTTTTTTTAGAACAAATAGTCCAATGTGTGTTAAACACATTTTATCAATCCATTCCTGGGACACTGAGGTAATTCACCTGTGTCTGATGTTAGAAATAGCACTGTAGTGACCATAGGGATACAGACAGCATTACAAGATCCTCCTTTCCTCCCTTTAAATCTATACCCAGCAGTAGGATTGCAGAATCCTAAGGGAATTCTGTATTAATTTTTGAGGAAGTTCACTTTTTTTTAATACTTTTATAATTGTTGACATTCTGACCACCTCAGTACAAGAGTTCACACTTCTCCACATATTGTCAAACATTATGAGGTGTGATCATACCTACAGAGAGTATTTAAATTACACAGAAATATAATAAAAGACAAATTGCCATTAATCCTTTTCAAAATTCTTTCCTCCATATATCCACACTCCTCCCATTCTTCTTGCACTTTTTGTAGGAGTTCTGGAAGTAGACATTTGTGGGTGTTTTCAGTTGCTCTGTTTTGATGGAAGTCTGGAATTCACATAAAACATTTCTCTTTTACAGTCTTTTTTTACTTTGGGAGAGACCCAAAGTTCACTAAATGCCACATTCTATGAATAAGATGTATGGGGACACAGCCATTTTTTTTATTTACCTCTCTTAAAGTTAGTTGATCTTTGGCAAAGTGACAAACAGAAAGGAAAATTTTTTCAAGAAATGATATTGGAAAATTTATATTCCCAACTAGAAGAATAAGACAGGGTCCTTATGTCATCCACACCCAAAAATCAATTTAAGAACTTCATTTTAGCGTTTGTGCTGTGTAATTTCCAGAAAAAATATAGGGGAACTTTCTTCTTTCTTCTAATGTTCAACTGTGCAGAAATATCCTAGGTATGACTGTGAAAATACAGACAATACAAGCAAATAAAACAAACAAGAACATATCAAATGAGATTGCATTAATCTAAAAGTCTTTCATTGGAAAGAAAAACAATTAATGGTATAAGAGACACCTCACAGATTGGGAGAAAATATCTGTAAGCAATGTACTGACATGTGAGTAATACCTAACACATACGAAGAACTGAGACTACTGAATGTGAGGTAAAGAAATAAGCCAATAAAAAATAGGAAAAATACCTATATTGACATTTCTCAAAAGAAGACACAAGTAATCAATAGATACATGAAAACTGATCCTCCTCATTAGTCATCAGGCATGGAAATGAGACCTCACACTTGTTCCAATGACTATTGCCCAAAAGATGGAAAAATAACAGTGTTTGGGAGAGTGTAGAGTAAAATCACCAATTTTGTCCTTTGGTGGGTTTGCATGTTAGCACACCCATAGTGGAAAACAGCATGGAGGTTCCTCCAAAAATCAGAGTTAGCATAGGATAGAGGAATATCATCCCTGGGTATGAAATCAAGGACCTGAATTCAATCTACCGCTCTCTTCCCTTCATTGCAGGATTGTTCATATAGCTAACATATAGCAGCAATCTAGGTTCCCTCATCAGATAAGAAGATAAAGAAACCCTGGCACATGCACACAGTGAAATATTATACAGTCTTAAAAATGGGGAAAGTAGTTTCATCTGCAACAACGTAGCTGCATCTGGAGAACACTCTGGTGTAAGGCAGGTACAGAAAGACATGATACATGTAAATCATACTGCATGATTTCACTTACATATGGAATGTAACAAAGTTGAATTCAGATCTATAGAGTAAAATGAATGCTACCAGATCCTGACAGAGGATGTTTGATGGGTAGTGTGTAAATATTGATCAAAATGCACAAAATTTTAATTAAACAGAAAGGTCAAGCTTTACAGATCAGGTGTATGGAATAGTGACTATAATAGCAATGCATTAAATATTTTTCAACTGCTGATAAAAGTATATTTTTAATGTTTCACACCCAAAAGTGGTAAGTCTAATGGTGACAGATTAGTTAATTAGCTTCATTGAAACATTCCATTTTGTAAAACTTAATATATCATTCTCTGTCCAACAATAAATACAATTTTTATTTTATAATTCATGAATAAAGAAATTACCAAATGAAAATCTTCTAGAGAGTGAAAAGTTTCCAAACAGAAAAATCTTTACTTCATAATTGGAAAAGTCTATCTCATAATGGGAGATTAATTGGAAATGCACAAGTAGAAATATCAATATGGAGTTAAGGAGAAAGATAAAATGAAAACTATGCTGACATAATTTTGTAAATTACCCCTGAAAATTAGAAATCAAGCTACTTGTTCATTCAAATAAAAAGAGGAAAATATGTGGAGGAAGTCTATGTATCCATTTAGATAGAAATGTATATAGGGCAAAAGAAATTCATTCTCAAACATTCAAAGATTCACATATGTTAATACCATACCTTAGTAAATGTAATCCAAACCTAAATTACAGACTATTTTTACCTTGAATACAGCTATGAAAATCAGCTAGGTGCAGATATATTTTGGTAAAAATGTGGGTTTGTTATTGTTGTGGGCGGAGATAGGTGGAGAGTCCCCACAGTCCTGGACCTGACTCTCCTAAGGACTCAGAAAGTTGTGGAAGAATCAGATAGAGACCAAAAGTGCAGAAGCAAAGTTGTATTTTATTCAGCAAGCATGCAAGAGTACAGCTGCCTTCTCTCAGAGAGACATGTGGGGGTGCCTGAAATGGAGACACCATTAAAGGGGGCTCAAGATGCTAGTTTTATAGTAGTTGGTGCCTGTTTTGCCTCTGGGCTCTTGCCTTGGCCAGGATGTCCCTTCCCAACAAGGGAGCATGAGTTTCTGGCATGATCTAAAAGGAATGGGAGAAGTGTAAGTCTCTCCAAGAGCAAGAGACAGGTTTGGAAAAGAACCTCTTGACAGTTTGTCCTGAGACTCCTTGAACCAAGGCTGAGGATGAGGAGAGAGGCTCAGAAAACTCTGGCAGAACAGAGAAGCTGGCACATATGTCCTAGAGAAAGATCAAAGGCTGTTTCCCCACTGGGGTTTGGTTGGGGGTATTTGAGTGAGTAGGGCTAAAGTGTGAGACCCTGGGGACCCTCACTGGGGACTTTCAAGGTCTTGGACTCTTAGAGGGCATTCATCAGCCCAGTGGGTTTCTCCACACTTAAAGCAAGGTTGGGATGGTCTGGGGGCCCTCTTGGCCTTCCAGAGAGGGCAGTCTTCTTTACATGATCTTGAGACATGCAAAATCTACAGATTCTGGAGTGAGGACCTGTAGGCTCCCTAGTCATCTTTAGCAGGTGTTCCTTCCTTGAGTGCTCCCAGCAGTTGTTTATGTCTGTCCCTCTTGTTTAACCTCAATGTCCCTGTTGTTGAAGGTCTTGGTAGCTCCCCTGACCAACTCATCTACCGTGGGTGACTCCTTTTCTGGGTCAGCCATCAGCATTTGAAGTTTTCTGCAGATATCATGAACAGACAGGGTTATTATCTTATCCCACAATAGGGACTTTCCTTCCAGGCTTTCAGAGTCAATCTGAGTATAATTGATCATAACATCTCAGAGGCATTGGAAGAAAACTGTTGGGGGTTCTTTCTTTTCCTGAAATTTGTGGCTCAATTTTTCATAATTGATGGGCTTAAATTTAGTGCCCTTTAGTCCCTCCTTGATGCAATACAAAAAATGTAATCAGGCCTCCTTTTGTGTGCCATCTTCATCTGGTCTGTCCAATGGGGATTGGCATGAGGAACAGCCTCATCTCCTATGGGAGCATATTTATGTCTTCCTCCTCTGAATATCACCCCTCTATGGGGCTCATGATAGGAATTAGCCACCCAAGTTGCAGCAGCCAGAACTCTCTCAACATCTCCATCCCTAAGAGTTTCCCTGAGGATAAACATGATATTCTCCCAGTTTAAGTTAAAGAGGGTGGGATAGGGGAAAGGATAGAAGGGAATGGGATTAATATGAGAAAATGGAAAAATAGGAACAAAATCTTTGTAAATAG